CCAAACTCATGCAAGAAATCGGAACCTTCCAACTTTCAATTTAATCAATAGCCTCATATGTCAAATAAGCATAAAATCTTCTCAATTCTGTAATCATTCCCACTTTTAACATTGAGCTCATTTAGTTCCTAAAGTGACCTTAACTTCCCAACTCCAGCTACACTAGAAAATTCATCTTGGGGGCAATTCAAAGAGACGCAGATTAACAGGATTATTCACATTGCCATGCAAGAAATCGTCAAAGCAAAATCCCTCGGCCAGATGTTATGGATTAAAAGCCGCAAATGAATAAAACTTCAAAGTGCCACCCAAAATTTCAGATTTTTCAAATAAGCCACCTAAAATTACAGATTTTCACATATGAGACACCAAAAATAAAATCTCCAAAAGCCTCAATTTTAAACCATCACGGCGAAGAAAACCACAACCCTGAAATTTCAAATTTTACAAAAAGAACACCCGACACTTTTCAGATTTTGCAAAAAGAGCACCCACACCTTTCAGATTTTTGCAAATATACCAATCAAATGTTTCAGGTTTTGCAAAGATAACACGCATATGTTTCAGGTTTTTACAAATAAGCCCCGCAAATATTTCAGATTTTTGCAAATAGGCCAACCAATAGTTTCATATTTTGCAAAAAGAACACCCAAATATTTCAGATTTCACAAATGAGCCAAGAGAACAACCACAAGAAGCTAAAACTGATCCCAACATAGGGCCAAAACCGAGCTCACACACATGCACACATATATATACATATATATTTAGCTTTCACAGGGAGAAATAAACATGGCATTCCATATGCAATTCGAGCAAGAGAGTAGCTAGAGATAAAAACGAGAGAATCTCTCTTTTACTTTCAGCATATATGAGAATGAATCAACATAATAAAGGGGGAAAGCAACTTTTCAAATTTCTTTTATAAGCAAGGCAAGTCTTCTAAAATTCATAAAATAAGCCATCCAAGAGTTTCATATTTTGCAAAAAGAACACCCAAATATTTCAGATTTCACAAATGAGCCACCCAAGAGTTTCATATTTTGCAAAAAGAACACCCAAATATTTCAGATTTCACAAATGAGCCACCCAAGAGTTTCATATTTTGCAAAAAGAACACCCAATGCTACACATGTTCCGTATTTCATGCTTAAGAAATTAAACCTTCCAGCAATTCAACAAAAAACATCAAGAAGTAGAGCAGGTACATCGAGCAGCCAAGCAAAATATAAAGTAACCATGCGAGGGGATCAAAAGACTAGCAAGATCACGGAAGAAAGGTTACCT